TTATGGGCTTTGAATGCCAGATCTGGGCTTTGGACTTCATTTGGTGTGAAAGGGGGGCTAGCTGAGGCTTTTGGATTAAGTTCAAGGAGCTTTAGTGATGAGGAGGCAAGTGAAGGTGGCTGTGGTGACTGACTCCAGGAAGTGATGAGGGATACCAGTCCTCAGGTGTGCTGGCAGGGACGCAGAGGAGGTGATGGATGTGGGAGAAATTCAGGAGGTTATGGAGTTCGGGCTTTGAGGCCAGCCTGATGCTGAAATGGGGGTGACTGGGAGTGGTCCACACTGGCTTGGGCAATTGGGTCATGGCGGTACTTAGAGTCAGGATAGAAAATTTCAAAATGCAAACTGATTTTGTGGAAAATATATCAAACAACTTTTTGAAAGAAATGTAATATTTAATTGGCAGATATTTTGCTCCCATAGGTGGAGATAACATAGGCAGCATAAGAAGGCCTTCCAGGGTATGGAATCGCTCCTCTCCCAGCCCATATGGTGGGGAGGGCTCCTCCTGTCTCTCCCAGAGGGTGGCTCTCTCTCCCTTATGGCTATCCTCTGGGCTTAGGGAACAGTGCCCCGCCAGCCCAGGGGGTGTCCCACCTACAGGAGGCCTGAGACATCCTCTCAGCGGCTCCAGTGCCTCAGTCAAAGAGACCAGAACTAAATACCTGTAGCCATCCTTAGGCAGGCCAACATCGGTTTTTCATCTTGCAGGCAGTTTGAAAAAATCTTGATACACAGTATTTGTACATATTTATGGGGTATGTGTGATATTTTGTTACATGCATAGAATGTGTGATGATGAAGTCAGAGTAGTTAGGAAATCCATCACCTTGTATATTTGTGTGTCGGGAACACTTCAAATCCTGCCTTGTAGCTATTCTGGAATATTCAATACATTGTGGTTAACTATAGATACCCTACTCTGCTATTGAACATCAGAATTTACTTTTTCTATGGAACTGAGTGTAAACTGTGTTTGTAGAAAAAGTGCTATGTAAAAACGGTCGTTGTTCTTGGTAAAGGAATTACAGTGGCAGCTGCCTAATTGCAAGCATGGCTGGACCCTTGCCCCTCCAACTAGTCGACTACAGGTGCAGTGAGTTTTCATGAACAACTTTGTTTTCTGAGTGTGTCAAACAGAGCACATAGAAAAAGAGGCCAAGTTGACTGTCTTTACAGTTTGTTTTAAATATGTGATAATGCCCAGCCTGAGGGAATGTTATTTTCCTTCCCGTTATTTATATATGTATACTTGCTTCAGATGTATTCCTATTCATTTCATAGTTTCAGAGGCATCTCACTGTTGGGAAATTCTCACACTTCAAAGCCTGTGAGCAGAGAAGGCAGGAGTTGATGGGATCCACAAGAGATCTTCAAGGGCCCCATTTGCTTCTTGAAATTCCAGGTTGATCTTATGCTTAGAGGTGGGTCTGTGGCCAGAGGAAGGGTCAGCTCTGGGCAGGCAGGCTGAGGAGGGCTGACCCCATGGGAGTGAAATGAACAATGCCATCCTTCCCCAAGGAATTCTGCCCTGGGACCCAAAGGTGGCAGATGCAGTGGCGTGCTGGTACATGGTGACCAAATGTCTCCCAGCATGTGGTTCCCGTGTGAATGTTGATTGATGTTTTACTATTAGCAAGTGAGACAAAGGTAAAACAATGAAGACAATATGTGAACAACCTCTTTGCTGAATCCAACAGTGGCTTTCAAATTCTGGAGGAATATCTCCTTAGTTATTTTGTGCTATTCACAATGTGATGTCTCCAGACAAGGTAAATTTAAAAATTCAGTCTCCCATCTATTATTTTAATAGCCTAATCTATTAACACTTTATTGCTTTCTTAAGTCTAGACAATTGACAAAACAACAAAGCAAGCCCTGATTTGTAGTATATGACGTTTTTCTTGGTGTAAATATTCCCATGCATGCACAGGTGATTTCACGTGACCGATTGTTTTACAACCAGTGCACAGATTCTTGAAAATGTAACAGTTGTCTCTCCTGCACCCACATGAGCTGGTTTCAGAATACCACCCATGCAGGTAGAACTTAAAACTTTTTTAGAGCGAGTGACAGACGGTATCTTAGTCTCCATGATTTGAAAGAATCGTGGACACTTGGCACAATAGAGGAATATTGTGGGGAACTGAGGGGAAGAAAATAACTGCATACACAGTGGTGTTTGGCAGAAAACCACCCCACTCTGTAAGAAATAATCAAATACGTAAAAATAGAAAAGAGAAACATACAGAACTGTATAGATTTCAGAAGTAACAAGATGTGGAGGGGGTCAGCCAGTTTAGGCTCTTTTTTTAAAAAAAAAAAAATAAAATGCTTGCTATAGCTCTTTTAGGGCAATAGGTCCCGAAGTTTCCAGTATGTTTGACAGATGCTAATTCTTCAAATGCCCTGGGGAGATGCTGGCATCATTTACATGTCGAAGATGAGAATATTGAGAAGGGTCCTGTGATTTGAGCTGAGGTTAAAGAGTCAAAGTCAGAGATAGAAAAGGTTTTATTATTTTAGCCTATTTTAGGCACTCTGTTAATGTAAACAAAACAAAAACCCGCCCAGTAATCAAAGCACCACAGGCTTAGAGAGGCTGAAAAACGTTTAAGTCATGGGAACTCCCATTGGATATGTTGGTGAGCTAGGTAGGAGTACGTTAACATGGTTAATGGGAATAATGGGAGGAGAGCCTGGACCACGCTGGCTTGAGCTCCGTACCCTCAGCAGAGCAAGGAGAATACCTTCTGGGGCTTCCTATTTCTTCCCCTTCATGTTGACATCCATCTGCCGTTTTTCCAAGCCCTCCATCATCCAGGCCCATCACACTTCTTGATGCACACCAATGCTCAGAGAGCCCTGATGACTCTCCCACAGACAGGCTGGGCTCATCCCCACATGGTGCATACTAACAGCTAGTAAGGAAAAGAGCTCTGAGCACAGCGCATGCTAAGAGTGCCACGTGCAGTATCCTATTTCATTCTCATACAAGCAAATCGAGATGGTTACTATCATTGTCCCACTTTATAGAGGAAACAGAGACAGGGAGCCTCCACCCAGTTTACCTAAGCTCATGTAGTTAGTAAAGCCTTTTACTAACCAGTAAACAAGTCTTTTACTAGCAAGCCTTTTCACACAGGACTCAATGTTCAAAATCAGGCTCAAAACCCCGCATTCCATGCCCTGCAGTTCATGGTGTTCCTTTCCACATTACCTTCCCTTTCAATGCAAGCCTGTTCCTCTTTTGGGTTCCCAAATGCTCAAGATCCTCATCAGTGTTCCATGCAGCTACCTTCAGGAAAAGAGCTCCCATCCATCTCTTCTGGGTTACTTGAGAAATCTCTCTATAGTGTGCAACTGTCATCCAAATGTGTCCTCTCCTGCCTTATATATGCAGTGCTTCTCCAACAAAGCTATAAGCTCTTTAGGGAAACAAGCATGTCTTCTTTTCCCATAGCAGGGCCTGTAGACAGACACTCAGCACATACTTGGTGATGGATTGATTAGGGTCCAAGTCCAGCACGATTTATTTACTTAGTATCTATAGCACCAGGCGTCAGACTGCGGATACAGAGGTGAAAGACATTCCCTCTATCAAAGAACTTCAAATTCCAGTGGAGCAAGTCAATTAGCCAACAGTTACGCTGCAATGTGGTTAGTATTACCAAGGGGGGCCCACATGAGGAGAGCCCTTGCTCAGTCAGAAGCTCACTTCTAAACTAGCCCAGCCTTTTGTTCTTTTTTTCTAGAAACAGTGTCTTGCTCTGCTGCCCAGGCTGAAGTACAGTGGCATAATCATAGCTCACTGCAGTCTTGAACTCCTGGGCTCAAGTGATCCTCTTGCCTTAGCTTCCCAAATAGCTGGGACTATAGGTGTACACCACCACACCCAGCTAATTAAAGAAAAATTTTTTTGTAGAGACAGAGTTTCGCTATGTTGCCCAGGCTAGTCTCGAACTTCTGGGCTCAAGCGATCCTTCCACCTTGGCCTCCCGAAGCCCTGTGGTTATAGCATAAGCCACAGTGCGGATGAGAGGAAACCAGAGTTCACCAGGAGGAGGGTGGGGAGTGGTAGGGCCCAGCACACAGTGCATGTTCTGAAGCCTAGTGCATGTCTTGCCGTACTGGACCACATCTTCCTCAATGTGACTTTCAACTACATTTAAGATCTGCTTTCTTTCTATTATATTAATGAAAGTGTGGGGCCTGTTACTCAAGTGCAGGGCTAGCATTGATGAGAAGAATGCACAGAACACAGATACCCATGGTTGCAGGTAGCAGGGGTGATTTGGCTACTCTTTCAAAGTGGGGAGAGAAGGTTATGGAACCCATGGTGGAGCTAGGGATGCCACTCTCCACCCCCGTGCCTCACCACGGTCACACAGCCTCTCCCACCTCTCCCCTTACACATGCAGATTTGGGTAGAGCTCATTGTCCCTCTTCTCATCACTCTTTCTGTTCCTGGTGCGGAGCTCACGACAGGAGCAAGAGAGCCTCATCCACTGTCCCACACCAAGGACGACTCTGGGCTGTGTCCAGCTTCTGTGGCACAGTGGAAAAGAGACTTACAGGTGATGCTTCTTCAGCAAAACACTTTGTTAGAATGTTCTGATTTTCTCTGATTAGTTGTTGTCCTACCTAGGCCCTTAGCCTTGCTGACACTTTGTTGTTAAAACCACACTTGGACAGAGGAAGCTTAAAGAAGCTGTGGTGGAAGATTGACAGATAAACCTCTTTTAAAAAATATTCCCTGGACTTGACTCAACTAGAATATTCTAGTCCTTCCTTCTTGAAAAACACATATACACTCCTCCATTCCACACCTACACACACACACACACACACACACACACACACACACACACACACATACATGAATAGGAAAAAGGAAGGAGAACTGCTTAAATTTACTGGACTTAATTCAGTAGAATTAACTTGAATTCCACTCACCTAACTGAATTGAATAGGACAAGACAGTTTTCTTTTTCTTGCAGGGAAAAGAGACATACAGGAAGCTGGGAAGGACTCCTGAAGTCGTAGCCGCTGCATTCCATCCCCGCATGGTCAACATTCAGACTGTGAGTCCACGTAGCTCATCGAATTCTAGGCCAGGGAATCAAAGTCTGCAATGACCCCACACAGGTCCGTACCCAAGTCAGAGCTGCAGTAGAACATTCTGTCTCATGCCCACTTATGGACACATTTCAAGGGTAATGCATCATTGAATAATAAGCCACTGGAAAATTCAAGTCAACATCTAAGAAGGTTTGTATGACCCATCCTTTACATGAATACATCTTTTTTCCTCAAGACAGATGTGAAAAGTCAATTATACTCCATTAATGGAAAATTCACTTGTGCTTGATTCAGGCTTTTAAGATTTCTGGATTTAAGAATGAAGAAGCACAGATTAGGGTACATGGTGTCAGTTTAAGTGATGGCTCAGGTGGATGGGCAGGGGCTGTCTGAAGTGCTGTGTGGCTGTGGGGCTGAGGAGCAAGTCTGGACTTGGAAGGAAATGGGGTGTCACATTCAGTCAGTGACAGTGCCTCCTGGGGCTCCAGAGGGCAGGGGATGCTGGTGTCTTGTACTCACCAATCCTGGCAGAACAGCTGAGAGTGAAGGTGTGTATGTTGTGTGTGTTTGTGTGTGTGTATGTGTGAGATAGTGTGTGGGTGTGAGTGTACGTGTGAGTCTGTGTATTTGTGTGTGTGTGATGTGTGACTGTGTGTGTAATGTGTGTGAGCATGCGAGTATGTGTGTGTGACAGGATATATGAGTGTGTGAAAGTGTGAATGTGTGTTGTATGTGTATGTGTCTATGTGACTGTGTGAATGTGTGTGTTATGTGTCTGTATGTGAGAGCATGTGAGTGTATGACTGAATTAGTGTGAATGTATATGAGTGTATGTGTATGGGAGTGTGTTATGTGTGTGTGGGCATGTAAGTATATGAGTGTGTGTATGTGAATTCCTGTGTGTATGAATATGTGTGTGTATGTGTGTGTGTTATGTGAATATGTGAGTGTGTATATGTGTGAGACTGTGGGAGTGTGAGTGTGAATGTGTGTGCCACGCATATGTGTGTTAGGATTGTATGTGAGCGTGAATGTGTATGAGTGTGTTGTGTGTGTGTTAGGAGCGTATGTGTGAGTGTGAATGTGTGGGAGTGTATGAGAGCGAGTGTATGTGATGTGTGTCTGTGAGAGGCGTGTATATGAGTGTGAATGTGTATGTGTGTGAGAGTGTGTTGTGTGTGGGTGTGTAAGCATGTAAGTGTGAATGTGTGAGTTTATGTGTGTGAGAGAGTTGGGGGTGTGTAACTATGTGAGTGTTAATGTGAGTGCATGTGTGTGTTGTGTATGTGGGGGCATGTGAGTGTGAATGTGTGAGTGCATGTGTGTGAGAGTGTGTTATGTGAGTGTGTGGGTGTGTATGTGAGTGTAAATGTGTGAGTGCGTGTGTGTGAGAATGTGTTGTGTGAGTGTGTGTGGGCCATGTAAATATGTGTGTGAATGTGTGAGTGCCTGTATGTGAAAGTATGTTGTGTATGTGGGGGCATGTATGTGAGTATAAATGTGTGAGTGCATGTGTGTGAGAATGTGTTGTGTGTGTGTGGGCCATGTAAATATGTGTGTGAATATGTGAGTTCCTGTGTGTGAGAGTGTGTTGTGTATATGGGGCGTGTAACTATTTGAGTGTGAATATGTGAGTTCCTGTGTGTGTGTTGTGTGAGTGTGTGGGTGTGTAAGTATGTGAGTGTGAATATGTGAGTGCATGTGTGTGTGTTGTGTGAATGTGTGGGTGTGTATGTGAGTATGAATATGTGAGTGCATGTGTGTGAGAGTGTGTTGTGTGTGGGGGCCGTGTAACCATGTGAGTGTTAATGTGAGTGCCTGTGTGTGAGTGTGTTATGTGAGTAGGTGGGGGCATATAAATATGTGAGTGTGAATATGTGAGTGCATGTGAGAGTGTGTTGTGTGTGGGGGGCGTGTGTGTGAGTGTAGATGTGTGTTTCTATTAGAATTCCTGTTTGGGAGGTTCAGTTCTCTGTGTTACACAGCATGTGAGGAGAAAGAACTTCTAGTAATACCAAAGGCAGGTATAGAAACGACTTGAAGTCTGTCCCCACACTGTGTGAACAAAAGTAGTTCTTGATTCCCTTACTGCATGTGCCGAGTGCACACGCCTGTCTTGTGAGCCCTTGTTGGAATCTTTTTGTGCAGAAATGAGGCAGGGCTGGCCAGGGCTGAGCTCATGGAGGAAGCTAGGTGGCGAGGCTCCAGGTTCCACCTCCAGGGCCTCAGGGCCTTTTTTCCTGTGCAAAGTTGATGTCAGCTGAGAGACTTCAGCGTTTGCCCCTAAGGCTCAGATAGGCCACAGTGATTTTTTTTTTTCCCCTATGAAATTTAAAAACAATCAATGCCCAGGGTGGACTTGGGGAAATCCTGTTTGATATTTCATCCTGAATGACTTCAAAACAAATCTGCTTTTATCTCTAAAACATTCCTTTCAGTTAAGCACGTTGTGGGGCTCTTTATTGCTCAGTCTATTCACAATGATAATTTTTATAGAGACCCTTATTTTTAAAGAAATGCACGCTGCCTGTTTACCTAATGGGCCAGACAATGACTAAGGAGCAAATTACATAAAGATCATTACACGGACTTAGCGTGTGCCCTCCGCCCGTGACTCACAGGGCAACTTGTTTGCGTTGCATTTATGGGCAGAGGTGCTTTAAAAAACATTTTATAGAGCAAGAATTGTAAAAGAATGCCAGTCATTGAAAACTTCTGCCGAAAGAGCGATGATGTGACGGCTGGAGACAATGCCGTTGAAGTCAAAAGGTGTGCTGGGGTGCCATGGAGATTTCCACAGCCCGACTGCCTCAGCAGGGCCCTCGGCCCACTAGAAGAGCAGATTTCAGGCTGCAACAGAAACCACCACTTTAGAAATAGCCCAACTTCTGTCAAAGCACCGGCATTTGTAATGGTTATCCTTGGTTGGGAGGTCAGGATGGGGAAGAAACACTCTTTGTGATGCTGAGGAAGCAGAGTATAAAAGTGTTCCTGACTTCCATGGGGAATTTTTAACAAATGGCTGGTGCTATTTATGTTTTCCTTTGAGACAGGTCTGCTTGCTCTGTTGCCCAGACTGGAGTGCAGTGGCTCACTGTAGCTTCAACTTCCTGGGCTTAGATGATCCTTCCATCTCAGCCTCCCAAGTAGCTTGGACTACAGGCTACATGTCACCATGCCTAACTAATTTTTTGTACTTTTATGGAGACAGGGTCTCACCATGTTGCCCAGGCTGGTCTCAAACCCCTGGGCTTAAGCAGTCCTTCTGCCTTGACCCCCCAAAATGCTGGGATTACAGATGAGAGCCACTGTGCCTGGCCCTACTGATGCTATTCTTTCTAGTTGTGGTAAAATATACATAATATAAAATTTACTGTTTAGTCATTTTAAGCACACAGTCCAGTGGTGTTAAGCACATTCACACTGTGGGCACTGTCACCACCATCCATCTCCAGGCTTTTTCATCTGGTGAAATGGAAACTCTACCCATTGAACAGTAACTCCTCCTCCTGTGACCCTGGCTGTACTTTCTGTCGCTATGGATTTGCCTTCGCTAGTGCCTCCTCTAAGTGAATCATGTAGCACTCTTCCCTTTTTGGCTGGCTTGTTTCACTGAGCACTGTGTCTTCAAGGTTTATCCAGTGGTAATATGTGCCAGCACTTACTTCCTTTTGAAAGGCTGAATCATATTCTGTTGTGTGGATGTACCAGTTTGTTTATCTCTGTTAAGGGACACTTGGGTTGCCCAGGGGTAAGTTTCTATTCTGTATCTTTCCTCAACAGTTGAATGAGCCTGTGGGACCATGAGTGGCAGGTGTGCCTGGCAATTTGCAACCCCCGCCCCCCACCCCACAACCTTTTTGCTGCCAAGCCTCAGTGGTGTTGGAGCAGCACTACCTTTAGGAATCACACCTGCAGCTTATGTCGAGTTTATCCAACTCCTGGCTCTGTCTTACCTGCAAGACAATTGACACCACAGGGCTTTGCTGGCAGTGCTGGTTCCAGTGCAAGGTCCGTGGCCTGCAAGGAAAGGAGCTCTTTCCACCTCAGCCAGGAGTGTCGCTCTGTTCTTTCAGCTAGGAAGAGTCCCGGTTGAGATTGCTGGGACCCATACCACTGCTTCCCCCTCCCCTTCATCCCAGGGAGTGCTTTCCCTCAGCAAAGATCCCGTTTCCAAGGCTTCTGTGCAAATGAAATGATTTCATTTGGAATTTCTTTGTGATTAGGAAGATATTTAAATGCTGTTTTAACTCTTGACCTCAGGCTAATATATAGTTAATTCATTAATGCCTATTAATGGAAAGTTCAAATTTACTTTTGAGATACATTGCAATGTGCCTTGTATTAACCTTCCTAATGATTGCTTTTTCCTTATAGACCGAGAGTGAAATTAGCATTTGCATTTTCTAAGTTAACTGGTGGACAGAGGAAGGAAGTCAGTGACATCCTTAGGTATGAGAAAAGTCAGCCTGGGTTTGGGGGGTTTATAAAATTGGGAATGGCCAGAGTGGAAAACCTGTTGGGTTCCACCCAACCCCTTCCTCCTCCCTGCAGACTTCCCCTACCCAGAGAGCAGCTGGAAACACACCCGCCCCTCCAGAACAGCATTTTTAAGGCAGCTTTCAGGTATTCAGAGAAGGACAAACTCTGTGATGCAAGATTTGGAAATTTTGTTCCACAAAGTTAGTTTTTTTTTTTCTTCCTGGTACAGAACTCCTCATGCCTCTCATTTATTCATTTATTCACTGTCTACTCATTCAGCAATTGTCACTGGGTATAGATCTGCAGGCTTTGTATGAGAAACGCCATTATGTTCCTGCCCTCCTGGAGACTAAAGTCTGGTGTGGCTCATAAGATGCTAATTCAAAGAGGGTGATAAACTAGGCAAAGTCCCCAAAATGCTTAACAATGAAAGGAGACTCTCTTGGGAAAACATTTCCTTTCACACATGGCTTGTGGGGTGCATTTTGCTTTCATTTTTTTGTTTTAGAGACAGAGTCTCTGTCACCCAGACTAGAATGCAGTATCATGATCATGGCTCACTCCTGGGCTCAAATGATCATCTTACCTCAGCCTCCTGAGTAGCTGAGTCTACAGGTGCATGACGCCAAACCAAGCTAACTTTAAAAATATTTTTTGGTAGAGATGAGGCCTCATTATGTTGCCCAGGCTGTTCTCAAACTCCTGGGCTCAAGCTATCCTGTCACCTCAGCCTTCCAAAGTGCTGGGATTACAGGCGTAGGACACCACGCCTGCCGGAGCCTTTTGAGTAACACTGTTGTGCAGTGAGGAAGACTAAGTAGAAACTTGGCGCCGTTACAGTAAGAACTAGCACCTGTCAAGCACATTACACGTGCCATTTCTCACCACCATCCATTTCTCACCACCACCATTTCCAGAGCTGGAAATACTTTCATTTCACAGGTAAGGGGACTAGAATTCAGAGCACTTAAGTGACCAGCCCTAGGCCGTCTGTTTCATTTGGTAACAAGGACAGCCAGGACTGGCATCCAAGTCTGTTTGGGTCCAACACCACAGTTCTTCCATTTCCTTTCCCCATCTCTCTCCCTGAAAAGTCTATGTCTTGGGTTAAAGAAACCTCAAGTCTAGTCCTGACCTGTCTGCTAACTATCCCAGCAACTTTGAGCCCCTCAAATTCTCAGAGTTTGCATCTTTAAACAGAAAGAGTTAAAAGGTCTGTGCTTACAGTATGTTGCTAAGACAGAATAAGTCAAGTATGTTCTGCTGCTTTGAAACATACACGATATGTACAGTGCTATCTGCATTCCAGACATCAAATATTATTTGCTGGAGCAGTTCAAAGGGTTGGCTGAGTTTGATTCAGCTGGATCCAACATGTGGACATTATGCTTAGCCTCCTTGAGGGCAGCTGTGCTACTCATGTCCTGTAGCACCGAAGTGGCCAGTGTCTTCAAGATCCCCACTGAGGGGGCGCTCCTAATGGCTGCACCTGAGAATGACCTCAGTCCTCAGAACCACTTGTTAAAGGATTTTTTTTTTTAAAGAGTGGCAACACCTGAAATTTCATTTATCACTGTCTCTGCCTTCTGGCGATAATGCCACCTACACACTGAAGAATGATGGCAAAAATAACATACAACAAACCATGGAAAAAATGTAAAAGGAGCCCTCTGTGCTGAAGGCAGAGATTACTGACCTATTTGTAATAATTTTAGATGGCACTCTGATCAGGAAGATGGTGGTTTTGCGAACACAGAGGGCTTTTACATCACCCTTATACAGGGAGCCCTTCTTTACTCTGGAATCCAGACTGACAAGCGGCACATTCATTGGTCTAAGGGAGGACTATGGGCGCCGTAGTTTTTTCCTTTGGTTTTATAGAAATGTTTTATCGGATTGGAATTAACAGATTGGAATTCTGTGGCTGTGGTGGAGTCCTTCAGCACCATAAATTCATAAAGCTGACCCCGAGAGAGCTAATAGCCGGTGCTTCCTGTTAGCTTTGGTGGAGACTGGGGAGAGGTGGCAGCAGCCCCGCAGGGAGCCAAGAGGGAAAGAAAAGACAGGCAAGGGCCAAGGCCTGTTCCAGGGAGCAGGCAAGGAGTGCCGGAGGTAAGAAAGAGCTGGGGACTGGGCTCGGGGGAGTAGAGTGGACAAGTTCCTCCTTGGGGACCCTATAAGAGCAGCAGCCCCGGAGTGCTCCCTGCCTGGTCTCTGTCTTCCATAAGCCCAGAAAACAAAGGCAGGCTAGCTCCCAGGGATCACCCCAGCTGAGCCTCAGGCCATCAGAGCCCAGGGGCCTCAGTAGGGACCATCCCCTGCTTTAAATCAGCTGTACGTGCTCTTCAGCCTTTCACGTGACAGGTTTGACCAGCAGGGCACGGGCATAGTCATCAATATTTGCTAGAGCGGCGGGGCCATTGTGACAAACGCACAGGCCAGGTTCACAGGCACAAATCATGTGAAAGTAAATACATCTTTCTTCTGATAGGACCACTAGACTGGTAGGTCAAGGAAATGGTGGAACCACAGTGGTGGCATCTGGCACAGTCTCTCGTGATGATATCCTTGTGTACAGAATAAAGGCATGTGGGCTAGAGGTGGCTGGGGTGGCCATTCCCTGGCAGGTCTGGGGAATACACCTGACAAAGGCTGGTCTGAGCTATGACCAGCAGTGGCTTGCACAGACACTTCTGGTGCTGAGCTGCAAGTCCTGTGTCCTGCTCAATGGTAAACCATACATTTTGAAGGACAGTCAGGATCATGAGCTGAAAGGGCCTCACAGCACAGGTTAGAAGAAAAGGCTGAGCAAGATGGAAGGCCATTTTATTTTATAATTTTTATTTACTTTTTATTGTATATCTTTAAGGCATGCAACATGATGATAGATGTATGCCCAGTGAAGTGACTGTCACAGTCAAGCAAGTTAACATATCTGTTGTCTCATGGCATCACCGTCTTTTGCAATAAAAGTACCTAAAGTTGACCCTCTTCCCAAATATCCAGTATATAATACAATATTATGACCTGTAGTCCTCATATTGTATTAGAATGTCATTTAAAAGCTTAAATAAAAAGGCTCTTCACTTGGGCTCAAAGAATTCACTGCACAAGTACCCCAAGGGTGCCAAGGGGCTTAGCAGCCCCTCAGTGAGGATGATGAGAATCCCGAGCGTAGGGCAGGATGTGGCTTTCATGTTTGCTCTGTCCATCTTTGGCTACGTCTTGGTGGAATATTTCCTAGAATGCTGAATTGTCTCGTTCTTCTCTGGGCTAGGGCAACTGCTTTTGGAGTATTGGCATTCAGTTTTGGACATCACATTTAAGAAGACAAGGACAGAATACACGCGAAGCACAGGGATCAGATTGCAAAAGGCCTTGACACTGCCCCCAGAAGAATGACAAAGACCCTAGAGGGTTCACAGCTACCGTTGACTCTGAAGACCAACGAAAGCAGGGCAAAGCTCGTGTTGTAAGACTACAAGGGCAGAAGAAAGGTAGAAACTAAGAAATTATCCAGCATTCAGAGCCGTCCAAAGGCAGAGTGGGCTCTCCTGTGAAGCAATGAGATCTCATCACTCAGGAGCTTGGACGTAAACTGGACCTGCATCTGCTGCATGTGGAAACAGTGCTTCAAGTATTTCAGAGCTGGTTTGTCTGGGCTGTTCCTCTAAACCCGGGGAATCCGTGAGTCCATGACAAGTTAGGAAACTAAGGATTTAACCTTAGCTTTGCCACAAACTACCTTAGTCATCTTAAGCAGAACATTTCAATCCTCTGCTGAAATAGAAAGCTGGACAGGATTCCCGCCAACGTTACATTAATTCATATATTCTACTACCTTTATCACCATGTGTTGCGATCTCTGCAAAGTGCTGATAGTTTGTGAGCTCCTCCTCCTTTCGCAGACATCAAGAAAGGAGTTTAGGAGACAATGTCTTAATTGCCATCGTGGGATCGGCACCCAAGAGCCTGCTGGTTTTTTTGACATTGGCCTCTTTTTTATTTGGTTTTCTCTTCTGTATTTCGAGATCAATTGCAGCAGACTAGGAGGACAGCCAAATTAAGAGAACCCCCTTCTCCTTGGAGGATACATCCCAAGACCCCCAGTGGATGCTTGAAACCATGGATAGCATTGGACCCTATATAGTCTGCATTCTTTGTTTTTCCTATACGTATATACCTATGATAAAGTTCAGTTGATAAGCTTGTCATGATAAGAGATTAACAAGAATAACTAGTAATAAAATAGATATAACAATAAACTGTAATATTATTACACATTATTAGGTATGTGAATGTGGTTCCCCTCTCAAAAACACAGGCATACCTCAGTTACATTGCTGGTTCCATTTCAGACCACTGCAGCATAGTGAATATCACAGTAAAATGAGTCACACAAACTTTTGGTTTCTCAGTGTGTATAAAAGTCATGTTTACACTGCACTGTAGTCTATTAAGTATGCAATAGCATTATGTCTAAAAATGTACATAAGTTAATTAAAATACTTTTTATCGCTAAAAAAAATAAATGCTGATTATCTGAGCCTTCAGTGAGTCACAGTCTTTTTGCTGGTGGAGGGTCTTGCCTCTCTGTTGATGGCTGCTGACTGATCAAGGTGGTGGTGGGGGTGGCTGTAGCATTTTTTAAAATAAGACAACAATGAAGTTTGCCTCAGCAACTGATTCTTCCTTACATTAAAGATTTCTCTGTAGCACATGATGCTGTTTGATTGCATTTTATCCATACTAGAACTTCTTTCAGAACCGGAGTCCATTCTTCCAAGCACTGCCACTGTTTTCTCAACTGAATTGATGTAAAAATCTGAATGTTGTCATTTTAACAATGTTCACAGTATCTTCACCAAGAGTAGCTTCCACCTCAAGAAACCATGTTCTTTGCTCATCTACAGAAGTAACTCCTTATCCATTCACATTTGATCATGAGATTGTAGCAATTCAGTCACATCTTCAGGCTCCACTTCAAATTCCAGTTCTCATGCTGTTTCTACTGCATCTGCAGTGACTTCCCCCACTGACGTCTTGAACCCTCTCAAAGTCATCCATGAAGGTGGGAATCAACTTCTTCCAAACTTGTGTCCGTGTTGATATTTGGACGTCCTCCCATCAATCACAAATATTCTAAATTGCATTTAGAAGAGTGAATCCTTTTCAGAAGGTTTTTAATTTACTTTTCCCACATCCATGAAAGGAATCACCATCTATGGTAGCTATAGCCGTATGAAATGTATTTCTTAAATAATAAGGCTTACAGGTAGAAATTACTACTTGATCCATGGGCTGCAGAATGATGGTTATGTTAGCAGTCGTGAAATCAATGTATTAATGTCCTTGCATGTCTCCATCAGAGCTCTTGAGTGCATAGATGCCTTGTGAATGAGCAGTGATATTTTAAAAGAAGTTTGCTTTTTTTCTGAGTGGTAGTTCTCAACTGTGAGCTTAAAATATTCAGTAAATCGTACTATAAGCAGATGTGCTATGATCCAGGCCTTATTGTTTCATTTGTAGAACACAGGCAGAATAGATTTAGCACAATTCTTAAGGGTCCTAGGATTTTCAAAATGGTAAATGAGCGTTGGCTTCAACTTCAAGTCACCGGCTGCATTAGCTCCTACCAAGAGAGTCAGTTCGCCCTTTGAAGCTTTGAAGCCAAGCATTGACTTCCTCTGTTCTAGCTATGAAAGTCCTAGATGACATTTTCCTCCAATAGGAGGCTATTTCATCTGCATTCAAAATTTATTGTTTAGGGTAGCTTCCTTCATCAATGCTCTTAGCTAGACCTTCTGGAAAATTTGTTGCAGCTCCTCCATCAGGACTTGCTGCTTCACCCTGCACTTTTATGTTTTGGAGATGGCTTCTTTCCTCAAACTCTGCTAGCTTCCAACTTTTTTTCTGCCAACCTCTCTCAGCCTGCATGGGATTGAAGACAGTTAGGGCCTTGCCCTGGATTAAGCTTTGGCTTAAGGGAATGATGTTAATGATTTGATCCTCTATCTAGACCATTTCAGATTCCTCCATATCAGCAATAAGGCTGTTTCACTTTCTTGCCATTCATGTGTTCACTGAGTAGCATTTAATTTTTTAAAGAGTTTTTCTTTGAATTAACAATTTGGATAACTGTCTGGTGCAAGGGATGTAACTTTTGGCCTCTCTTGGCTTTTGACATGCCTTCCTCACCAAGCTTAATCATTTATAGCTTTTTATTTAAAGCAAGAGACATGGGATTCTTCCTTTTGCTTGAACACTTAGACGTCATTGAAGGGTTGCAAAGTGTCCTAATTTCAAAACTGTGTTTCAGGAAAGAGAGAGGACTGAAAGTTGGGATAGAAATGGGGAAAGAGCTGGTTGGCAGAGCGATCAGAATGCACACATATACTGGTTAAATTCCCTGACCTCAATAGTTGTGGTTTGTGGTGCCCCCCCCCAAAATTATAATGGCAATGTCAAAAATCACTTGGTCAAAGATCACCATGACAGATAGGATGAAAAAGCTTGGAATATTGCAAGAATTACCAAACTGTGACAGGGAGACAGGAAGTGGGCACATCCTGTTGGAAACATGGCGCAGATAGGCTTGCCTGACTCAGGGGTCCCACACACCTTCAATTTGTAAAAAACGCAATAGCTGCAAAGTGTGATCATGTGAGGCATGTGTGTGCCTTTGCTGTGATACTTTCAGATAGTGATGACCTCAGGTGGCTGAAACCTCAGAAAGTGAAGCTGTGGATGAGGGGTTACTGTAATATATATATTTTTTTGAGATGGAGTCTTGCTCTCTCACCCAGGCTAGAGTGCAATGGCACGATCTCAGCTCACTGCACCCTCCACCTCTGGGGTTTAAGCAATTCTCCTGCCTCAGCTTTCAGAATAGTTGGGATTATAGGAGCATGCCACCATGCACGGCCAACTTTTGTAATTTTTAGTAGAGACAGGGTTTCACCATTGTTGGCCAGCTGGTCACAAACTCCTGAGCTCAAATGGTCTGCCTGCCTTGGCCTCCCAAAGTGCTAGGATTACAGGTGTGAGCCACCGCACCTGGCTGCTACTGTAATTTGTACTGTAATGGAGAGGCTGTGGTTCTAGAAAGCGATGTTAAGGCTTATGTCAGTAGAGAAATAAGTAAAACTGATTCTAAGAATATTTTAAGAAGTTATTCTAATTTATTTGAGTGTTTAATTCTTCTTTTCTGTTGTTTTTCTTCCCTGCAAAGGCATTAACGATGGTTTATGTGAAGGGTTATAGTTTCCACTCTGTTTGGTGGGTTATTTCAATGCTCACATCTGAGCATCGAACCCATTCCCTTATGCTGATTACTGTCTTGCAAAGGAAGCTGGCAGCCACCAGTGATGGGCAGCCTGTCTCTTGGGGCCATTTCCTTTTGATGGGCAATGCTAAATTGAGCCAGAAATATAAGTTTGGAAAAAATAATCAGGGCCGACATTCAGGAGATTTAAAGTAAAATGGAGGTCAAAGAGGAAGCACAATTTGGAGTGAGGCCTCACTATTGGGATGCGCAGTAGGAGGCAGTCTGAATGTGTGTGTCTATGTGTCTGTGCATGTGCACATGTGTGTGTGCATGTGGGTGTGTGTGTTGGGGGTGGCACTCCTCTGGTAGTTTTTATGTGTTCCCAGTGTACTTCTTGGGTGAGCTGCCTTCTCTTAGAGAGCCTGGGCCAGGTCCACCCCCAAGTGGGTGTTGGTGCAGCTGGTGATGGCATTGTGTGGATGAGGCTGAAGACAAACACGTCAGCCCTGCAGAGCCCCTGCCATCAATTTGCTGCAAAACTCAGCTTCTTTCTAAGAATGCCAGCTCCATGAGAATTAGTAATGAAATAAGCAGTTGCAAAAGACACTTTATATGCAATCCCCCTGACAAGCAAAACACTCAGAACCAGCTGTACAAGATAGTGCTCTTTGATCAAACACAAACACTACAAAAGCTGATGAAACTGGTAACGGAATTGAAAGTTTTCTTGATCTGTAAGAAATCAAGTTCTTCTTTTTTTTTTTTTTGATTGCTGACCTCAGCACCAGAGATATCATGAAGAATACTTTAAACAAGACCCTTTTGGGTGAGGGAAGAGAAGGATATCCAGCCATAAAAATTTCCATTCTTTCCCCAATAACCTGTCATCCTCCTGGTCCTGACTGTTTCATAAAAACCATCTTTCGAAGACTGTCATCCCAACAGAAGAGCCATCTGAAATGACACCAGTTTCCAGCAGCTCCCGAAATGTTATCCAGAGGGTGCCCAAAGAAAGCAGGTGGCTTCCATCAGCATGGAGCCCTGAGGCAGAGAGGTTCACATATGGTGTCTCAACTGTTAGTGCTTTTTGTACTCCGTGATTCATGCATAGAAATGGAAAAAAAAAACCACCTCCTCCTCCCGAGGCATCTGTGATTGGCAACTCCTCTTAGGATTGGGCTGTATGGACTTCATGGGAAGATGCAGCACATCTGACAAGAGAGGATGTAACTGTTTCTTCACTGCTTCCAGCAGCTTGTGACAATGTCATAACTAATTCTTTGGGGGGCTCTTCGGTTTGTCAGTGCACCAGCCTCTGGTTCAGGCTTGGCTTGACAAGAATTTTTTGGACACTTTTAAAGAGAATGTTGCCCACTGGCTCTGATCCCCAGCAAGAATAAGAAAAAGTAATGATGACATGTCAGTTTGGGGATTCCAGAATGCACTTGACAGCTGGTCATCAGATGACCTGCAGCAGCAAAATGAACAAACGAATATCTTAACAATTGATCAGAGCAGAGTGGGCTGTCTCACAAACATTTATTTACATATAGAAGCTGCACAATACATTTAGAAGTTTATGTAGAGACTCTTGTTGTAATTGATTGTCGCACATAATTTGGCCAATTTTGTGTGAAGAATGGTGGTGGGGGCTGCATAAATGAGTCCATGGATGTCACATCTGCACACTAGGATTGGACTCCAGTCCCCAAACCATCTTTACTGATCTACTTGCCTTGCTGAGTTGTTGTGAAGATTAAATGCGATCCTGTGTATTAATGTGTTTTGTGAATTACAGTGCAGGTTGCCAACATCAGTTACTATTATTATTATCACACAGGAAAACTGACCCTGGGGAAAAAGTGAGACAGAGTTCCTAGAAAGATCACTTCTTTGCCTAGATGTGGCACTGGCCCACAGGTTAGAGGAAGATATTTACCTGCCAGGGATCTTCCTAGAGACAAAATAGCCTGTCCTTTGGGATGTACTCAATGAAAGTTTGTTACTGGAACATGCAGCAGAGGAAGGCTGCCGTGAAGGGAGACCCAAGCATAGTCTTAGAAGGTGAAGTTGAGGGATGGGGAACAGGGGTGCTATAACTCCAGGAAAACAGGAAGAAGCTCTGACCACGGACAGGCTTTTTGGGTAGAAAGACTCCATATTGGAGAAATGAA